CTCACCATTTAAAGTTTGAGAATGGGCTGAGGACATTTCGTCCCCAACACCCCTAGTCATTCGCTTTACCGGATGGAACTCGTTCGAAGCGAGCGCCAGCTATCCTGAGGGAAACTTCGGAGGGAACCAGCTACTAGATAGTTCGATTGGTCTTTCGCCCCTATACTCAGCTCTGGCGATCGATTTGCACGTCAGAAACGCTTCGGACCTCCACCAGGGTTTCCCCTGGCTTCATCCTGGCCAAGCATAGTTCACTATCTTTCGGGTCCCAACATTTATGCTCTGGGTACCCGCCGACACATCCGGCCGCCCCCCGCCGAGACGGGCGACGACCGTTCGTCATGGCGAGTCCCGGACCTGCGCCCCCCCCGCCGCAGCCGCCCCGCGAAGGGCGGCGCGCGGGGCCTGCGGGAGCGGGAGGGAACCCGCGCCGTCCCGGGGAGGAAAGTCAGTCACTCCGTCCGGGTGCGCGCGGCCGCCCGCTGCTCCGTGGGATCGGCCCGATCACTTTCATTGCGCCCGTGGGTTTAGCGCGCCCATTGACTCGCATACATGTTGGACTCCTTGGTCCGTGTTTCAAGACGGGTCGGGAGGAGTACCGACTCTTTGCACGCCGCGAAGGCCACGCGGGAGAGGGACAGGGAAGCGCGGGAGCCAGCGAATTAGGCTCGACCGCGGCCTCGGACCAGTCCCCCGTTCCCGGCCGGCCCCGGAGGAGTGACCGTCGGGGGGGCAAGACGAGGGCACCGGGGGATCCCCGGACGGGCGCGCTGGAAAACGCCCCCCGCCCAACGAGTGAGCGGAGGACGAACGCGCCGCCGGTTCCTACCAGGACCCGGGCCTCAGACGCCCGTTCCCCAACGCGTCGCGGCGACCTACTGCGGGGGGAAGATCGCCCGCCGGCGCCGGGCAGGCGGCGGGGGCCGCTCCCCGTGTTGGCTCCTTCGGCCCAGAAGGCCTCCGGAACGGGAAGTCGTCACGCCCGCTGCCGTCTCCCGGCAGGCCGACGAACTGAATCCCCCCAGTTCGATCTTCGAATCTCCGCCCGTTTAGCCTCTTAACGGTTTCACGTTCTCTTGAACTCTCTCTACAGGGTTCTGTTTCAACTTTCCCTCACGGTACTTGTTCGCTATCGGTCTCGTGGTCATATTTAGCCTTAGATGGAGTTTACCACCTGCTTTAGGTTGCGGTTTCAGGCAACCCGACTCTAAGGAGAGGCCCGTTCCGCACTCCCGAAACCCCCCTCCCCGCGAACGAGGAGGAGGAAGTCCCTTTCCGCCACACGGGCCTGACACCCTCCCTGGGTATGAGAGTCATTCATGAACAACTTAGGCGGCTCGGGAGCGCGTGCAGGACCTCTCCCGAACGCAGCACCCCTCGTGCCCCCCGCGAAGGGGACGCGAGGCTTTGCGCTGGGCTCTTCCCGTTTCGGTCGCACTTACTCAGGGAATCCCGGTTGGTTTCTTTTCCTCCGCTGATTAATATGCTTAAATTAGGCGGGTCATCTCCCTCCACTCGAGGTCGACGATACAGCGGCCAACACTTGCTTGCTTGCTTGCTTGCTGCTGCTGCTGTCGTCATGCTTGCTTGCTTGCTTGCTTGCTTGCTTGCTTGCTTGGTATCGTTTCGCTCTTCCTTCTCTTCGGATTTCTTTCTCTCAAATCCCGGCTTTTTTTTTTCCGCGCCGCCCTGCTCTGCCGCGAAACCTTCTGTGCAACTACCGCTACCTTTCGGCTTGGCGTAGTGGTTGTTGTTTGCTGTTGCTCAGGATGCTGCGCCCGCTTCCTCTCCTGCCCCGAGCCCCCCAGGCCCTCTCTTTCTCCCTCGCCTCCTTTCGGCACAGATTAATAGGAGGAGGGACGGCCCACCGAGGCCCTTTTTTCCCTTCGCGGAAGAAGAAGAAGAAGAACTGGTGGGGGGGACGGTGGCGAGTGAGTCGGCGTTTGCAAGCAGGTTTCGTGGCGCGGAGAGGCCCCCACCTACGCGATCTCGCGTCACTAGGGTGCGCCCTTGCCCCTCCAGCACGGCCGGATCGCCTGGCCCCGGGAGGGGGACCGGGCAACAGGCCGGCTGGTTTAATTTCGGCTTTTGGGAGAGCGCCTCTCCGGCTCCTTCGGAACATTATTCGCCTTTTGGGCCAGTGGCAGGCCGGCCGTCGGGAGGAGGATCACGGACGACTGGGCGCCCGTCCCTCCGTCCCTCCGTCCCTGCGGGCCGACGGCGACGGAAGAGAGCGAACCCTCCACGTCTTGAGGGAACGTCCGGACGCGGGAGCGAGTTCCTGCCCAAAGGCTCAGGGAACCCGCGCCCTCTCTGGTCCGGCGAACTCCCCAGGGCGGAATCGCCGGCGCGAGAGCCAGCAGGCGAGGCAGGCGAGGCAGGCAGGCAGGCGAGGCGGCACATGCCGCGCCGCCGCCCGCGCCGCCCGCCCGCGGTCGCCGCCGCTCCCGCACCTCCGGCACGGTCGAGAACGGAGCCCTCGGCCGGCAAAGCCGGTCGACGGGCCCCGGACCCCGTTGTGCTCTTGCGGAACCGCTCTCCCCCCACCCCCCCACGCGGAGGGGGAGGAGGAGAGCGGCACCTACACGGCGCTGTTTCGCCTCACTCTCAAAAGATTCTCGTAGCGGCCTTCCCGGAGGACGGGCGGAGAGCTCGCGGCAGCGAGCAGCCCGCAGCCGTCCGTACTGTCTCCCGGGAGGCAACGTCACGACACTCGAGGGAAGGTGGCAGCCGTCCTTCGAAGAAGGCACAGGGCCGCCGCAATGTGCGTTCGACACGTCGATGGAATCACGGGAGAATTGCGATAGCCACCAAAACATCGCTTCTTGCCGCGGTCTTCCTCGACCCACGAGCCAAGTGATCCCCCGTTAAGAGTCTTTGCTGGGTTTATCTCATTTCGAGTTCACACTACTACTCGATGGCCTCCCACTCAAAGGGCCTCGAAGGGGAGGGTAACCTGCGCTCTGAGAAGACGCGTAGCCCACGGCGCCGGGCCGCGGCACAGGGGGTGTGCCGCTTTTTCCGGCGCCGTCGCTGACCTCGTAGGCCCCGGTGACCCAGGCGGGGCTGACAAAGACTTCTGGGTTCGGCCTTCCCCTCCTCCCCGCCCTTCCGGACGGGGAAAAGAAAAAGGCCGGGGAGCCGTGCCGAGAGCCCCCCGCGGAGGGGGGCACGAGCATGAGGAGGACGAGGACGAAGAGGAGGAGGTGCAGCGGGGAGATCGGGGGGGGGGGGGGGGGGGCAGATGCCAACCCCAAATCCCGCCCTCTTCCTTTTTTCGCCCGCTGGCTCGCTGCCTCGCTCGCCCGTCCGCCCGTCCGTTTAGCTCGCGCCCAACCCGCCGCTCGGGTTGTAAGAGAGAGAGTTGCCTCTTTCGGCAGGCAGGCAGGCAGGCAGGCAGGCAGGCAGGCGGCGCCAGGCGGCAGCGGGAGGGGGGCCGGCGGCCCGCCACCACTACTACTACTGCTGGTGCTGCTGCTGCTGCTGCTGCTGCTGCTCGCTCGCTCGCTCGTAGTAGCACTCGTTAATGATCCTTCCGCAGGTTCACCTACGGAAACCTTGTTACGACTTTTACTTCCTCTAAATGACCCAGCTTGGACACCTTTCCGTCGACCCGAGGGCGCTGGCCGCCGCCGAGGCGGCGGTAGCGGCTCCAAGGGCGCCAGTCCGGTGCCCTCACTAGACCATTCAATCGGTAGTAGCGACGGGCGGTGTGTACAAAGGGCAGGGACTAAATCGGCGCAATCTGGTGAATTGCGCCTACTGGGAATTCCTCGTTCATGGGGAACATTTGCAAGCCCCAATCCCCTTTAAGGACAGCTTTCACGAGGTTACCCGCTCCTCTCGGAGCAGGGACAGCTCGCTGAACTCTCCATTGTAGCGCGCGTGCGGCCCAGAACATCTAAGGGCATCACAGACCTGTTATGGCTCAAACTCTCGTGCGGCTAGTATATTTTTTGCTGCCGCTTATCCCTCTAAGAAGAAGACTGCGAAGCGGACGCCAGTTTCCGGCGCCGCGGGGCGCGCCGCCGGCGGCGCTAACCAACCGACGGTGGAGGCCCGCGCGACGGCCGGGTTTAGGGGAACCGAAGCCGACGCCCGAGGGCGAAGGCTGGGCGAGAGACCCGTCGACTATTTAGCAGGCTAGAGTCTCGTTCGTTATCGGAATTAACCAGACAGATCACTCCACCAACTAAGAACGGCCATGCACCACCACCCACCGAATCGAGAAAGAGCCTTCATTCTGTCAATCCTTCCGGTGTCCTGGCCTGGTGAGTTTCCCCGTGTTGAGTCAAATTGAGCCGCAGGCTCCACTCCTGGTGGTGCCCTTCCGTCAATTCCTTTAAGTTTCAGCTTTGCAACCATACTTCCCCCGGAACTCAAAGACTTTGGTTTCCCGGAAGCTACCCGCCGGGTCATGGGAATAACTGCGGCGGATCGCTAGTCAGCATCGTTTAAGGTTAGAACTAGGGCGGTATCTGATCGCCTTCGAACCTCTAACTTTCGTTCTTGATCAATGAAAACATCCTTGGCAGATGCTTTCGCAGTAGGTCGTCATGCGACGGTCTAAGAATTTCACCTCTAGCGTCGCAGTACGAATGCCCCCGTCTGCTTCTATTAATCATTACCTCGGGTTCCGAAAAACCGACAAAATAGAACCGAGGTCCTGTTCCATCATTCCATGCACGACCATTCGGGCTGTAAGCAAAGACCAGCCTGCTCTGAGCACTCTAATTTTTTCAAAGTAAACGTGCCGGCCACAGGGGGACACCCGGTTAAGGGCATAAAAAACCCCGTGCGCGCCGGCGGGGACACAGCTCGGAACCCGGCAGTAGCCGCCGCTAAGGCGGACCGCCGGTCCGGAGCAGAAGTCAAACTACGAGCGTTTCAACCGCAACAACTTTAATATACGCTAGTGGAGCTGGAATTACCGCGGCGGCTGGCACCAGACTTGCCCTCCACTCGATCCTCGTACAAGGATTTAAAGTGTACTCATTCCAATTGCGAGGCCCCGTTCGGGGCTCGCAACAGTATTTTTCGTCACTACCTCCCCGTGCCGGGAGTGGGTAATTTGCGCGCCTGCTGCCTTCCTTAGATGTGGTAGCCGTTTCTCAGGCTCCCTCTCCGGAATCGAACCCTGATTCCCCGTTACCCGTGATAGCCATTGTAGGCGTTTAACCTACAATCGAGAGCTGATAAGGCAGACGCCTGCAGGACGCGGCGCCGACCCAACCCGGGTTACGGGAGGGGTCGTGCGCTCGGCGAAAGTTATTCTGATTCACCAAGGAGATCGCGGCCGACCGGTTGAAGGGCCGGCCGCCGAGGGTTTTGGTCTAATAAAAGCGCTCCTCCCTCGCGGTCGGAGACTACAAAGGCATGTATTAGCTCTAGAATTACCACAGTTATCCAAGTAGTGCGGTTCAGCAGAGATCCAATGAGTTATATCTGATTTAATGAGCCGTCCGCGGTTTCGCCTTAAGTCGGCCTGTACTTACACATGCATGGCTTAATCTTTGAGACAAGCATATGACTACTGGCAGGATCAACCAGGTAGAAATAGGGGGAAAAAAGAAAAGCAAGAGAAGACCAACGAAAAGCGACCTGTCCTGGTCGTCGTCGTCCGTCTCCCTTTCTTTCTTGTTCGTGCTGGGACGAGCGGGAGGAGGAGGAGGAGGGGAAGGCTTCAGGAGGAAGGGGCAGGAGGAGCGCGGGGGGGGGGGGGGGGGGTCGCGGCATTTTGCAGCGCATTTGCATCGCTGCTCCGCCGACGCCGCACCCACCCACACCACGGCGCTCGCTCCTCCTTCGCCGTCGTCGCCTTCGACTCTCTCGCTGGCTCGCTCGCTTCGACCCTGTTCCTCGGCTTTTCGCAGGGCCAGCCCGCGCAGCCCTCTCCCTTTACCGCGCGCTCCCACGCCCGCGCCGCCCGCGCGCCCGCCGCCGCTGCTCGCGGCCCCCGCCCCAAAGGGGCCAGGGGGAGCGAGAGGGCGGGAGGGAGGCAGGCAGGCAGGGGAGGGGAAGGAGAGGTTGCAGCAGGGAAAGAGGGGCGCGGACCGGCGGATGGCATCTCAGGGTGCGCCGCACGCAGGGGTGGGAGAGAACAAGCATTGCCGGGCCAGAGCAACGGCCGCGGCAGGCTCCCACCCGGGCGCGATCCCTTTCTCGTCTCGTCTTTCTCTCTTTTTTCGCTTCTTGCCATCGTCGTAAGGGGGTCGCAGGCCCTTCGCAGGGCCTGCGAAGGGGCGGGGGCGCTGGGGCCCCCGAGCCTCCCTCGCGCACACGCACGCACGCACGCACGCGCGCGCGCGCGCGCGTAAGGGAAGGGGTGTGTGATTGCCGGGGGTTTCTTCAGCTCTCGCCGCAAGGGTGTCAACACAACCCGGGATCTAGCTCGACGCTATCGACGCAACAACGTGGCCGAAGGGAGAAGAACCGCAGGGAGCTCGACCGTCGCGAGGGGGAGGCCGCGCGGGGGCGGCACTCGGAAACCATTCCGAACGTCTAGAATGCAGCGGTCGCCTGTGTGAAGGGCAGGGCCACAACCGACCTCGAGAGGGGGCGGCACGGGGAATGGTTACCCCGGCGGCCCCCGGCCGGATGCGTGGCGCGAGCCCGCGACCTTTGCTGTGCGCTGCGGCTGGGCCATGGCAGCCAGGAGGCTGCCCCGCCTGCCGCTCGCCAACCTACCAACAACCTCTTCCACGCGCCCAGCACCAACAACACCACCACAAAGGGCCTCGGCAACAGGGCGGCGGGGGAGGGAGGCCATTGGGGAAGGGGATGAGGGACCGGAGACGCGCACGGACGCGTGCCTCCTTACAGCTGCCAAAACGCCCGTTCGCCCAACACCACCGCGAACAGGGGCCGCCCCCGCCCGCTCGTCAGGGAGGACACCCCCTCCAGGGGGACCCACGCCCTCGCCGCACCGCGGCTTCGCTCTGGGGACCTCCCCGAGCCTCGCTGCCTCGGCCTCAGAGCCCTCTCAGGAGGCGGCGGAGGGAGGAAGGAGGGCCCGACCAGGGCCTGCCTGCCTGGACGACAACCAACCCCGCCCGGGGACGGCGGGGAGCCGACCACGCTCGGGATACCCGTCCGCGGCCGCGAGGGAGCCCGCCCACCGAGGCCTCGCTCGCCGGCCCCGGCGCCGCCCGCCCGCCAGCCAGCCAGCCAAACGCCAGCGACCCCCCTTCGTCCCCATACACTTGTCGCCGCGGCCGTTCCGCCCCCACCACCCCAAACAGGCCGCCCTCTCGCCCGCCCGTCAAGGCGCACGCCCCCTCGCAGCCCCCGACAGACCCGAGGCTCCGGGAACGCCCCTCGCTCGCCGCTTCTCCCGCCCACGGACACGGCCCAAGGGACCCAGGCCTCGCTCCGCCACCAAGGCGTCCTCCTCCGACCGCCAACGCCCCTTTCCGCCGCGCCCGCACACACCAGCACCAGCACCAGCGGCAGCGGGGCCCGCCCGACAGACCCGAGGCTCCGGGAACGCCCCTCGCTCGCCGCTTCTCCCGCCCACGGACACGGCCCAAGGGACCCAGGCCTCGCTCCGCCACCAAGGCGTCCTCCTCCGACCGCCAACGCCCCTTTCCGCCGCGCCCGCACACACCAGCCACAGCCCCGGCCCCGCCGCCGCCGCCGCCACCACAAGGCTGCCCCGGAACCAGCCTTGCCGGGAAGGGGAGGGAGCCGGCACCAGCGGCAGCGGGGCCCGCCCGACAGACCCGGGGCTCCGGGGACGCCCTCGCTCGCCGCTTCTCCCGCCCACGGCCACGGCCACGGCCACGGCCACGGCCACGGCCCAAGGGACCCAGGCCTTGCCCGCGCTCCCGGACGCCCGGGAGGCCCGGGAGCGCGCAGCCC